TAAAAAAAAAAGAGCTTTTGTGAAGTTACCCTTAAAATTTGAGATAAATCGATGCAATAGGATCCGAATAATCTGTCCTTCAAGTTTCAAAGTTGTCATTGTCCTCAGCGGACGGACGCTCTGAGCAAAAAAAAGTTCCGTTATTTAAAAAATGTGTTTCACTTTAAAACCAATTACATACCATTTATAGTACCCAAAGGCACCCTGTGAGCAAAAAAAAAAAAATTGTGTGTTCCGAAATCCCAGAGTGGCCTTACCGCTTAAGACAACAGTTAATATTAGTATAAAAATTCTTCTGTTTTTACATTTTAGTACGGCAAGTGCTGTTCTAAGAAATGAAAAGGCAACTTTTTTTTTTTTTTTTTTGGTTTTATTTTTCAAGTTTTTACTAAACATTTATTAATATATATTGTTGTATATATATTATGTATATATGAAATTTGTTGAATTGGCATTACACAATGAAAAGAGTTATTACATATATATATATATATATTATAATATATTATTAAATAAGAACAATGCTTGAAACAATGCACAACATTCAAATATTTCACTAAGTAAGTTGTTATTATAATATATATTTTTAATAATAAATCTAAATTGCTTCAAATTTTATTTGTTGACTTCTGCGCGGCTAAATCAATTTAATATTTCCATTTAAATGTGGACGCAAACAAATAATATTATGTAAGTATGCTTGTCTTAAACTAAAATAAAATTAAGGATAATTTTTTTTTTGTTTTTTTTTTTGTTTTTATATTTTTCCTTCGTGTCAATTTGTATATAACTTAAGATACAGATTATTTACACTTTACCAAAAAACCAAATTTATGTAAATGTAAAATTTTTGTTCCAATGCAAAAGACAGTTTTGCAAATATTTTTTATTATTGTATTTTCTCGTTTTTTTTTTTCCTTTTTAAGTTTTAAGTAATTCATTTCTCTTATTTAATTTAAATTTTATGAATATTATTGTTTAATTGCACTTTTTGAGTATGTTTAATTAATAAAAATTATTATTATTTTATTATAATATTATTATATTTAATTGTTTTATTTGTTATTAATGTTCTATGAAACATTCACAACAACAATATTTATTTATTACATTAATTCTAACTGTAATTGTGTTTGAAATGTAGAAATAGTTGTGCTGGTCTCCGATTTCCATTGTTTTTATTTTACAATTTACTTTAATATGCTTTCTTTTACTATTAATTGATTTAATTTATGTAAATATGTATGTGAAGCGGATGACAAATGTCAGTCTCTCGCTTACATTGCTCTATGAGAAATTGCAGAGTGAAGCTTCATTCTTCTTTTTAATTACATTTCAGTTACTGCTAATTATATGATATCAAATGTATTCATGTGTGCAAATATATAGATGTGTATGTGTGTATTTTAATTGCATGAAGAGTTATGACATCAATTGGTTGTATTGCTATGCTAACATACCGTCTTATATAATATATATAATATATATATATATGTAGGTATTTGGGTTTATGTATATTTTTTGTATATATATGAGTGTGTCTGTATGTTATGCATATGCAAAAGGTTGCAAAAGTTTGCGAAAGGCACAATCGATTTTCATTTACTCGCTAATTAATAAGTTGCAATAGCATTAGCCATGTCTGCTTCACTCAAACGCATAACATTTTCTATTATAAGTTGTACGTTGCTTGTGTCGTAGCGTACTTTTGGTGCATGTAATTATGGCTGATATTCGGATGAAAAATTTCAATTTCAAGATATTTACATTTTTGCGGCTTTTGGCAATTCAAAATGCGAAATATGCGTAATGGGTGTGCAATTAGAAATTTCCATTTTATAAGAGCGTTTAATATATAACGCACACTATTGTAATTGAGACTTTTCGGTTGGTTGCAAAAATTATTGCGAATAAATATTTTCCAAAATTGCTGAATTGCCGTACACAAAACTAAGGCATATTTGACTAACGTTATTTTTCTGAGAATAAATTTGTTAAAGAAATTTGCTTAAGCCTCATATTTCTCAGCAAAAATGTTATACATTTACTTTTTTAAATTTGTTACAAAAAAACGGTAAATAATATTACCCCAAAAGCGTACTACTCAATGCATAAAAGTAAGTCAAGCACATTTATAAATATTAAAACATACGCAGCTTGCACTCATTACGCAAAAACGTTGTACATTATTATAGTTTTTTTTTGTTTTAATTGGCATTTTTTATTTCTGGTATTTAATAAATTATTGAAGCATTAACTCCGTTTTGGCCACATTATCAGCGAAACTTAACTAATTTACATACATATATATTTTTTTTCTCTTAAACGTAAGTAATTTCACTCAATGATATATTTATATTTAACCGCAGCTTTTCTGATTACGATGAATTAATTTTTAATTATTAGTGTAATGTATTAATAATACATAATTTGCATATATATTATGTGTGCGTGCGAATGATATAATAATTACATAATATGAAAAAATTTAATATTTACTTGCAATAAATTATAGAAAGTTTAAATTCTTTTACTAACTAAATATGGCTTTTGCAGTTTTGCTTTTTATGTCATTTTCATTCAGTTTTGTTGAATTTTGATATTTATTTATAAAACATAAAAAAAAATATTTTTTTTTTAAAACTGCTTTAGTATTATGATATTTGCAGTTTGATTGACTTTATAATGTGTGTAAGTTATATTCGTTTGTTTTAATTCGTTTTAGTTTTTATATAAATTTTAGTTTGCTTATTTCAATTAATTTTATTTAATGTTATTGTATTTTATTTATTTTAATTTAATTTTGTTTTAAATTTAATTTCATTTTCATTTTATTTCACTTTTAATTAATTCTCAATTTATTTTTTTATTTCATTTTATTTGTTTTTTGACTCATTTCATTTATATATTTTTCTTCATTTTATTAGATTTTATATTTCATTTTATCTTTTTTTTATTTCATTTTATTATTTTATTTGTTTATTTATTTATTTGTTTAATTTTATTAATTTTTTTATTTCATTTGCAATTTTAATTTTATTCTATTTTATTTTATTTTATTTTATTTTATTTTATTTTATTTTATTTTATTTTTATTTTATTTTATTTTTATTTTTATTTTATTTTTATTTTTATTTTTATTTTTATTTTGTGTTATATTTTTATTTTGTTATATTTTTTTTTATGTATTACTTTATTTGTTCAATTGTAGTTATAAAATTTTAGCTGGGGCTTTAACAATAATGTTTACAATACATACATACTAGTTTTAATTGACTAAAAATATATTCAGTTTTCGTCATAATCAACTCATTTTCGCCATATAAATTCAACTTAAAATAATATTTTTTGTGTAAAATAACACAAATACATAATATTTTGCTTTATAAAATGGTTTTATACATATTTTAAACAACATCATGATTAGTTGACACTATATGCATATACATATATATATTATATATATATATATATCTACCATATATTTATTAGTATTATTATTAGAGCCTTACTAATGAAGAGATTCCCATGAGACTCGCTTATAAAAAGTACTCTTTTATTTGTTCGCAGCTTTGTATTGGCAGAGAATTTGTATTTTACCGTAAACATTTTTCTTATGAGGGAAAATCGCTTGTGTATTGTTTTTAAATTAATTTGTTTTTTTCTTTCAAAATTTTATTGCTTAACTTAAAAAGAGTGTGTTCCTGCAGCCTTTTCTCCACCTGTGTTAATGTTTATTTCTACGACTGGCTTTTCTGCGCGTGATTTGAAAACGGAAACTGAGCGATTTTGACGAATTGTATATTGATTTTCTGGCATTACTTTGTGTAAATGTAGCGTTACGATTGCCTTTGCGATTTATTTAAGTAACATTTTTATCTTTTAATAAAGCGAATGTTTTTAATGTACGGGCAGCATTGTTGATAGCACTGTAAGCAAAAATATAAATATAATATAGGTACATTCATATAATTTGACAAAGGCCAAAGATTACTATACACACCTGCTCTTTTGTTATTGTCATATGTTCCGGTTCCCCTATTAGTTGTTCAATGGTTGTGCAGAAAGTAGTAGACTCCTGACATTTGGTAGCTTAATTGAGTACTGGTTCAATTGACTGATTGTTTGCGCGCCAACAACGCCACTCTGGACAAATACATATATACATCTACCCCCATCCATTCATCAGCAGCAACACAGTATTCAACTAAGAGGCATAAAGGTAGAGGATGTTGAGGTGGATAGCGATGAGGACGCGTTCGAATGCTTTCTACCCAAACACGTTCCGTTTAAAATGCCGTTGTGTGGCACACGAATGTAATCGAAGGTTGTGGTTGGTTGGTGGTAGTAAACAGGTGTATATACACAATTACCGCTGATAGCTAAACAATGAAGGTGAAGCATACATACATATACACTATTCGCTATTGTATTTGGTTATCGATAAATAAATACATACGTATACATATAAACGCATAAACATGCACGTATGTATGTATGGTAGGTATGTATGTATGCATGTAATATTTATGTATAGAGATTCTCACTTAGGAAGAAGTGAAAGTGAAATTCAAGTGCCAAATGCAGTGATGATGATAACGGTGCTGGTTGGGGGATGATGAGTGGTGGCTTGTTGTTTTGTTACTTGTACAATCGTAACGGATTAGTTGTTTCTTGTTGTTATTGTTAGAGTTATTAGAGGCAACAATTGTGCAGTTGATAGTTCTGAGAGCGATCTAAATGCTTGTTAGAATTCATAATTCACGCTGAGTGTTGGCACTTCCAACGCTGTCTGCTGCTTATTGGAACGCAAGAAATGAACTTCTCTTTTCGCAATAGCTTGTCTTTTAGCCACTTTATATACTGATAAAACTCTAATAATATTTTCGAGGATTCCAGCTGCTTATTATTTGGTTAGTACCATATTATTTACTTTGCTTTAATTTCATTTTATTATTTTATTATTATTATAAGGTATTATGGCATGATTATTATTATTATTTTTTTTTTATATGGCTGGTAAACTATTTTTAAACGTTTGCAATTTATAGTTCATTGGTTATTTTGATTATTCTTTTTCAATGGTTTTTGAATACGTTTGTGAATATTAATAGTTGGTAGTTGGTAGATGGTAGTACTAGGTGTGAAGGTTTCTCTGTGTGCTAGAAAAGAGTTAATCAGTTGCGTCTAAAATGGGTTATTTTCGTCTACCATGGCACCGGATGGGTTAGCATCATGTAAATAAAAAATAGAAGAGAAAAAAACAAGAAGAATATTTAGAGGTTATTGTTAGTAAATATTATTATTAATAAAAATATACATTATATGTAACTAAATTACAAATTAGTTCTATGGACGGCATAGCCAAATTATTATTTGTGCTAAAACGAGACTCTGTTAAAATGCTGATGATGTTTGATGTATTGTTTGATATCTTTATTATTATTATTATTTTTTTTTTGGCTAAGCAAATGCATTCAAGTACGTTTAAGGTGTAAAAAAATTGTATAGAAAAGTTTAATTTATTAAAGAATTTTAATACACTTTTCAGAATTATAAATAATTAATCACAAAAAAGAAAGAAAACGGATAAATATTTTAATACTCTCATATTTTTTTTATGTTTTTTTAAACTCTTTTTTTTTTTTTTTAATTTATTATACATTTTATTATATTTTTATAATTTTTTTTTATTTTTTATATATTTTATTATATTTTTGTATATTCTTTACATTTTCTTTATTTTTTATATTTTTAATAATTATTTCAAAATTTTTTTATGTTTGATTTAAATTTTTTATATTTTTTTTCATTTTGGTATATTATTATTTTTTTATTTTTTTTTGTATATTATATATTATTTTTTATATCTATTATAATATAATTTTTTTGTTATTTTTGATATCTATTATATATTATTTTTGTTTAATTTTATATATAATTCATATTATTTTTTGTTATTTTTTTAGATTTTTTTTTATGTTTTTTTGTATTATTTTTTTAATATATTTATAATATATAATTTTATCATATTTTTTATTTAACTTTTTTAAATTTTTTCAATACCATTTTTTTTTTTATTATTATTATTAATTTTATAATATTTTACTACATTCTTTTTAATATTTTTTTATATTATGTTCCTATAATACTTTTTTATATAATTCTTTTTTGTAATAATATTTTTTTTAACTAAATTATTTTTAAATTGATTTTTTATAGTAGTTTTTTATATTATTTTTCTATATTACGTTTTATATTTTTATAATATTATTTCTATATATTGATTTATTTTATATTATTTTTTTATTAAATTTTTATATCTTTCTTTATATTATCTTTTTCATATTATTATTTTATATAATATTTTTATATTATCATTTTTCATTTCATTGCTTATTTATTCATTCTATTTTTTATTTTATTTTTTTTAATTTACTTTTTTATTTTACTTTTTTTTTATTTTATTTTATTTTTTTTATTTTTTTTTATTTTATTTTTTTTTTATTTTATTTTTTTTTATTTTATTTTTTTTATTTTGTTTTTTTTATTTTATTTTATTTTATTTTATTTTTTTATTTTATTTTATTTTATTTTTTTATTTTATTTTATTTTTTTATTTTATTTTATTTTATTTTATTTTTTTATTTTATTTTATTTTATTTTTTTATTTTATTTTATTTTTTTATTTTATTTTTTTATTTTATTTTATTTTATTTTATTTTATTTTTTTATTTTATTTTATTTTATTTTATTTTTTTATTTTATTTTATTTTATTTTTTTATTTTATTTTATTTTTTTATTTTATTTTTTTATTTTATTTTATTTTATTTTATTTTTTTATTTTATTTTATTTTATTTTTTTATTTTATTTTATTTTTTTATTTTATTTTTTTATCTTTCTTTATATTATCTTTTTCATATTATTATTTTATATAATATTTTTATATTATCATTTTTCATTTCATTGCTTATTTATTCATTCTATTTTTTATTTTATTTTTTTTAATTTACTTTTTTATTTTACTTTTTTTTTATTTTATTTTATTTTTTTATTTTATTTTTTTATTTTATTTTTTTATAATTTTTTTTATTTTATTTTATTTTTTTATAATTTTTTTTATTTTATTTTATTTTTTTATAATTTTTTTTATTTTATTTTTTTTTATATATAATTTTTTTTTAATTTAATTTTTTATATTATTCTTTTGTATTATTCTTTTATACTATTTTTTTATATTATTCTTTGATATTATTTTTTATATATTATTTTTTTTTATTATTTTTTTATATTATTTTTTTATATTATTTTTTATATTTTTTGTATATCTCTTTCTAATTTTTGATGAACTACCAATTTTGAATAGCAATTTTGTTAACAAATTTCACGTTAATTATTTTTATTTTCTATTGACATTTTCGCTTTACAAATTAAGTTCGAGGTTATTGGCTTTAAGTACCAATATTTATTATTTGTTTATATACGTCACAAGCAGGCGTGATAATATAATGTTGTTTGCATATAGCGCCCGTCAATTTAATGCCAATGGAGCCGAGCAAATGACGATCAGGTGAGTGAAGTATACCATTGAACTACAAAATATGAGTTTTTATTTTAATAATTTTACAAAAAAAAATATTTAAATTTCACTGTCAATGGTGACTGCTAACGGTAACTGTAAACGATTATTAAAGATACTTATTAGCACTGCATAGTATTACTTATTATTCAGATTTCGCGATAAGTGTCGAAATAGAATTAGTTTTAAAATGACGGTTCAAAGGGTTTTTTGCTGCTTTTTTTGTGAGTTTTAATAAAAAAAATCATTTTTCTAAAAACGGTAATCTGATAAATTTAATTTTTTTTCTTAATTATTTTTCAGTAAAAATAGCTCAAACGCACTTTAATGCACTTGCAAACGCCTTTACAATTATTAATTGTTTATATGTGAAAATGTATGTATAAGTTTGTGAGTTGCATGTGTTTATCTAATAAATATTACAGACTATTTGCATTGATGATCTGTAATTATTTAAAGCTGCATTGCCAAACATTAATTAATTTCACATTTCCTTGTACAGCAATTGCTTAGTAATATCGAGCTTTTTTTATTTATTTATTTTTTTTTTTTTTTATTTTGTTGCTCATGCGAAAAACTTTTTCCATAGAAGTTGTGCATAATTACATGCATATATCTATACAGTTATGCCTTTGACGGTAATATCCGCACGAGCATGATAATGGACAATTAAACAGTAAATAATTACAAATCACAATTTTTTGTCCGTGTGTGTATGTATGTTTGTGTCAACAATATGTTTATGAGTTTAAATACAAGATGAGCATTTTTTTTTTTTGTTTGGTATTAATAAAGACTAACATTCATATTTCTTCGATTAGTGTTTTTGGCTTATTAAATACAATATATTATGTATGTATGTAGTACATTGGATTATGTTTAAATATTATAAATTTTCTCCGTGCTTTCTCTAGCTCATTTTTTTTTTTTTTTTTTTTCAAAATAAAAGTTATTTAGTATACGTATTAAAACTAAATAGTTTTGTCAATTCATTGATTTGTTTATTTTACTTTAGATAAAAATACTTAATTTACTCGTGACGGAGAGTAAGTTCAAAGAAAATTAATAAATAGTAATTTACAAAACATGAAAGTTTAAATTGTTTTAGTTAACTTGGCCTTTGGTTAGTTTCATTTCTGATAATTTTTTTTTTCTTAGTTTAATTTATTTTTTTGTTTAGCGATAATATTTAGAGTGGATAAATATGTGTATATAAAGAATTAAAGTAAGTAGTTTATGAGACTTTTGCATACAGTTTCCCTTTTGAGCGACCTCTGCGTATGAGTAACATTTCATTTTTGTAGTAGACAAATGGAAAACATTCAGTGATGTTTTGGTTAGCGAAGAGTTGAGTTGGTAGAGTAAATTATTTTTGTTAATATTTTTCCTTCTTTTTCAAAAAAAAACAAAAAAAAAATCAAGTATTTTTTTTTTTTTTGACGTGGTAGGTTATAGAAAGTGCGAGACATACATATATACATACAAATGCTGATTTGCAGGAAACTAAGAATAAAACTGGTGTAAAGGTAATTTTTGACAAGCTAAAATTCAGATTCTAATAAAATATGTACAGCCAGATCTGAGTAGAATTTCATGCCTTTTTGAAATATTTTTTTTTTTTTTTTTTTTGTAATTACACAAAATCATGTCATTAATTAGACATTATAAAAAGTTGAATTATCAAAAAAAAAATATATATATATAATAGAAAGTATTATTTTCTTTTCGACTGAGAAAACCTATTTTAATTAACAAATATACTTGACACTTTGCCATCATACATATATAAAGTGTAGATAACTTCAAAATCTTAGCATAAATTTAAAATCATTTTTTTTTTACTTCCATTAAAAGTATAATAATTTAATTACTAACATGCTAAATATTTTAGCAAAAATGTTAAAAATGTTAAAAACATTAATGTAACCTAAAAAAAAATTTATAAAAATAATATTAATTTAATAATTATGAATACCAAAAAGAAATGTATGAAACTGAAATTGTTAAGAGTCTCTACTTTTTTTGGTTTTTACTTTTAAACTTTAATTCCTACATCAGCATATTGTATGTAAGAATGTAGGTGGAAAGGCTTTTATGTACGTATGTATGTCAAATCCAATCGACTTATTTATGTGATTTAATGCTGGTGTTAAGTGTTAATTTTGGTTTCAATTTACAATGATGCCGTTGTTGTAAAGTGCAAATATATGTAAATATATATGCATGTGTGCACATACAAGCATACGGTAATAAATGTTAAATTGAGTAAAAATGTATATATGTGTGTGTATGAAATTTTGTACTTTTTTATTTTTAATTTTTTGTCGATTTTAATAACTTTTTACAAGCATTTCAAAATTTTCAATTATTTTCTGGTTTTCTTTTTTTTTTGCATAAGCAAGAAGGCATTAAATTATGCATCAAAACAATTCTTTGTATGTAGTACGAGGATTAAAAACTTGAAACGAGGAATACATCATTATTTTTGTTTTTTTTTTAAGCTCACATACATATAAATACTTAGTTGATAGATTAATTCTAGAAGCGAATAATCGCATTTATTAGTCATTTGTCAATTTGTATGTGTGTATGTAGGTATTTAGTTATATAATCTATATATATATATGTATGTATGTAGTAATACAAATATTAATTCAAAAGATTTTTATTACATTACGTATGTATGTATGTATGTATGTATGTTGGTAGATATTTACACACGTATCAAATACCGCAACCACATAGATTTGATAGAGCAGAAATTAATTCATTAGTTTTTATCAGTTATTTATACATAAATATGTATGTATGTATAAGTGTATATTGTTAAGCATTATTTAAAAATATATATATGTATATACTTTTTCATTATTCTTATGATAATAAATATTAAATATACGTGCTTAGCGCGCTAAGTGTTAAAAGAAATGAAATATCTTGATTAACTACCAGTTAATTAATTTAAGGTATGTATATATGTACTCGTATGTATGTATTTATATAAATACGTTAAATTCGCTTTACTTTTCTCGCTTTCATACCAACGGTTAATGTATGCCTTTATAAGGGTATAGAGAGAGAGCATTAGAAGATTTAGATGTCGCAGCATTCATTTGTTGTTGTGTTTTTTTTTTCTTTTTTTTTTTTGTTGTACAACTCAGCAGCAGACAGCAGCTTGGCTTTTTTCCGCACCTTTGAAGCGCTAAGCACACAACAGATAGTCCAACGGCGTTTGGTATACGATTTAATATTACGATAATAATCCTCTGCAGTGTCTTGTCTGTCTCCAACAGCGGATATCTTCGAAAACCAATTTCGTAGAGTGAGATAATATGAACAAAGAGACATGCATGTGGGCGAAAATGTCGCAGTTTTTTTTTCTTGCAGTTTCAAGTAGACAACAAAGTGAGTTGCTTTTACGGAAGAGTGCGTGGTGGAGATGGTGAAAAACGATTTGGTAAGTAAATAGCCTAAATTTATATGCTTACTGGTTATCTAGATTTGGAAAGTGGTTACAATGTTAATGTGTGGATATTGTAGTTTCATTAATTTAGTTTAGAGTCTACAAACTAGAAGTAAAATTATTAATTATTTACTATATTTTTTTTAGTTTTTTTTTTTTGTTTTTGTTTAATGACAATTAGTATTTAGTGGAGTTTCGTTTTGTGTTATTTTAAATTAACAATTAATTTTAGTAAATGTTTTAATGCATTCTTTTCTCATTAATAAACAAAGGCGAATTTTCTTCTACAGCTTCAAGTGAAAAACTTTTATTTTTGTTTTGTTTTGCAATTCAACTAAGATCTTGATTTTTATTTGTTTGTTTTATGCATTTGAAAATTGTGTACAAAATTATATTTAAAATATATAAAAATTTATAAATGTATTATGACTTAATTCACATTTTAAAGGACTTTCGGTAATTTTTTTTTTTTTTTTTTTTTAATAAAAAATTATAATAATAAATAATCTATTGTTTGTTTAATAAACAATAAACGATGTTAACATAATTGAAAATATTAACTTTCTGAACTTTTACAAATATTTCGAGTGTTTTCAAATCATACTTATTTTTTATATGTGTACTCTTTTGTACATTCATATGTGTGTGTGAATTTATATTGCGGTCATTTTGAATTGAAATCCTTTTTATACAACTATAGATAGATACATACAAAATCGCTTAGAGCTAAGAAAGATTTTTCTCGTACAACATACTAGAATGCACTAAGGAAAAACAAATTTGTATAAAATGTACATATGTATATATTATATATATATATGTATATATTTTATATATATTATATGTATATAAAATGAAAACAAACTTTTAGGTACGAACTAGAGAATGAGCCACAAAAAATGTCTGTGACTAAACCACATACACCATATACATACATACTCATATGTATGCATGTATGTATGTTGGAGTATATGGGCCTTCTATGGTACTATGTACGGCAACATATATGTTTATTTTTTTCTATTGGAAATATATATGTAAATAGGTATGTATGTATGTTTTCGGAAAACTCAACGACCCACTGTATTTTTTTTATTATTCTCGCTATATATGTACGTAAATATATATATATAAATACGTGTATATTATATATTTTAAACCTTCTAACTGTAAATCTTACCTTACTTTTAAATATATGTATGTATGTATGGCGAAAATCTCTCGACACGTCACAAAGGCACAAGTCAACATACAAACAATTTAACCGTTTTGTTTTGAAATATCTCTATATATTAAACTTTATATTCCTTTTAATTTATTTGCGAAATTTTTTCATTTTATTTTTTAATGTATATATGTATTATGTACGTATGTATAACAAAAACACAACTTTGAAGAAATATGCGTAACAACAAAAAAAAAACCTTTTTGCGTTTTCACACAACAGCAGGGGATGCGTCGCGATGGGGTAATGTGAGAACATTTTCGGTGTATATATAAATTTCGATTTTGTAACGTACGAATTTTTATGCTTACGCTTTTTAATTGCAAATATTTTATTTAAATTATGTTTGATGTTTACCGATGTAACAAAATAAAAAAATAAAAATAATCGGAAAAAAGCAAAAAAAAAAATAAAAAATCTTTAAATACTTCGAAATAAATATATTTTTTTGTTAAATAAAAACTAAATTACGCACAAAATATGTGCTACATCTTCTCGCACTACCCTACGCCAACGCATTTATGTATGTAGAATATAAGGTTTTGGGTAATCATAGAACACAAACTAACCTGGTTGAGCTGTAAAACTGGGCAAATCATTCATTTTGAGGTTAAGCAAGAATTCATTTCACACCGCTTGGCGCTTTTGCATTTTTTTTTTTTTTGCGGATGTCAGAAAGAGAGAATGTGTGTGTTTTCGTTTTCATTTTTATTTCGTTCACTATACAGCCCAGTAGTTACTTAACATTTCTCGTGAGCTTAATGCAGTCAAACGGGTCGTCACAGCTTCGCGCAGGCAATTTAACGAAAGAGATTTCTAAGTATGAATTAAAATTATTTGTTTATTACATTATTTTATATGAAAAAAAAAAATTTTTTTTTTTGTCAAAAAATGTTGAAAAAATGCAATGCTAAAATTGTTTATTTTTATGAAAACAAAATTATTTTATATTTGTTTAAATAAGAAGCAAGTGTTTACATTGTAAAATTTTCGTTTTTTATGTAAGAAAAAAAATATGTATCAACATTTGTGTATATGTAAATGAGATTAAACTTTAGTTGCTGATATAAAAAAAAAAAACAAAAACAGAAAAGAAGTGAAATTTAAAATAAACACAATACATATGAGGATATATACATATGTATTTATATATTATACATATGTGTATATATATGCATGTGTCAATATGTGAACACACAGCTGAATTATATATGCATGTATGTACATATGTACGTTAACTTTAACTTGTTAATGCCGACATAATTTATGATTTTACTCTTTTACTTTTACTTTTACTCTTACTTTTACTTTAGCATTTTGATTTAAGTTCATATTCTTCTTGCTTGCTTGCTAATTATTACGATTATAACGATTACGATTAACTGGCAAATATTTATTTATTTAATTGTTTATTCATAAACATTTACTGTATCTCAATAAAGCCTGGCTTGGCTGTGACGCCGACCGCAGCAGCAGCCCTCTGATATGGATGTTCTCTGCTAGCCAAACGCCTCTGCTGTTTAATTGCGCCTACTAAAATATATTCGATATATACATAATTAGTTTAATAAGTAAAGGACAACAATTTCATATACATATTTTGTATTTAAATGATAATTTGCTTAAGTAATATCCCTTATGTATACATATGTATGTACGTGTATGTAAAACATATGTATTGTACTATTATATTCATTATAATTTGATAAAGGCAATAAATTCTTTTATATGTAAGAAAATTTACAAACATTTGTGCACTACTAAAATAAATATTTTTCGTAACAAAACAAATTTTGTAAACAAACAAAAAAAAAAAATTCGCCTCCCAGACAAGAGAATTATTTATGTATGTATGTATTTATATATTGTATGTATGTAAATACTATAATTTCATATTATAAGAAAAAAAAAACTACGTACTGCAATGAGTAAGCGAAAAGCTAAAAATTGCTTTGAAAAAAAAAAAAACAATAAAAAAAATTATAAATTTAAATCACTTTTGCATTTCACTGGGTTTAAAAAACTATGGCTTCTGTTGTTTCTTCGGCTATCGAGTTAAACAATAACAAATACATTGTGACACATTACTCTTCCTACTATTAAGAGTTGCCAGAGAGTTTTACAAATTATTTTTTTTTATTATTTTTTTTTTTTTTTTTTTTTTTTTTTTTTTTTTTTTGTATTCTTTGGAATGGGTCATATATATACGAGTATGTACATACATATATGCACTATTTGATTATTTTTCCGTGTTGCGTGTGTTTAAGGTATGTACGTTATATGCATTTTGTTCAACCGATAAGTGATTTCTATTTAACCATACTAAAGCTTACAAATTAAGCATAAATTAAAATAACTTACTACTAGTTGAACTACTGAAATAACAAATAACTCTTCACTTAGCAGAAACATACCTACGAAAGCAATAAACCTATGCTGAATTTAATTTTAGCCAATGAATATATTGTTGTATAGACCTCAATTCTTGCATAGCTATGATAAAATAATTTATAGTAAACAGATTTAGGGCATACACATAGTGGAACTCAGTTGGAAACGGTCTATTCGGAAGTGTACAGAAATCACGTAGCCAGATTTTTAGGGCTCTCCTTGCCTTTCCTTTCCTGTTATTCCTCACTTCTGCACGATAAAACGGGGTTTTGTACCACTTTTTCCCAACCTTTCATTTTCTTTTAAATATTTAACAAAAAAATATTTTACCGTAAATGAATAATATACAGTACTGTGCAAAAAAAAAGCCCGAATAGTCAAATTATCTCTAACTTGAGTATAAAAGCTATAGTACTTCTTAGCGGCAAGTAGCTTTTTTGGTGTATAAATAGAACAGTTTTAAATATATTTGTCGATTTTTAAAAGAAAATTGCAGAAACGGGTGCAATAGAGCGAGAAAAACAGAACTGGTTGACGAAAAAAGGCGGCGTCTGCTGAAGAACGTGTGATTAAACGGTTGTGCATCCAGAACCAGACATCAAAAAGAAGTTCTTGGCTGCCTCTGACGTCGAAATAGATTCATATTATGTACTTATGAGATTGATGAATGCCAAATTTGTAGGAGCACATCGTGCAAAGCAAACGTTTTTGAACGCAAAAATGCGTCAAAAACAATACCAACGGTTCAAAATTAATGAAAACTAAACTGTCGAGCACTGGAAGAATATGATCTATTCGAATGAATCGAAGTTTAACCTCTTTGCATTTCAACTAATCTCTACCCGCTCTTGGGCGAGCTACGTGGTCTATGGACGCTTAATTATGTAATCATTTAGTTTAAACTGGCGCGCCTAAAAGCGCGCTACAGTCGATGCACTCAAAGCTCAACTATGCGCTTAGCCTCCGCTAAAAAGCTCACTAACACTTGTTTTTCATAATAATAATACTATTGTAAATTCAATATTTTTTTTTGCCATCATAACTATTGTTTGTACACATAATCAACAATACATAAGGATTTGTGTAAATATCATTAATTGTTTATTATTCCAATCTATATACCCTTATTTATTTACTCTGTGTGCTTTGTGTTGTAATTAACTTTGACTAGGCAACTTAATTATTTGGACGGATATCGGTGAGCTGCTTGTGATTTACATATACAATTGATTGTTTGTTAAATATTTAAAACAAGGCTTTTGGAGTGAAATGTAAGCTTAAGTAATTTACGCTATTATTTAAATTATGTTCGTATATATGTAAGTTAATGAAAATATCAGTTGATAAATTTCATAGATTCGCATATAATGACAATCGGTAATTGTGAAAGCTTCACTTTTATAAAAGCATACAAATACAATGAGTGAAAGTTTTCGAAAAGCTTCATTCGCTTGAAACAAGTATAATTAGATTATTTTAATTTATTTCAATTAGACAACAATCAAATTTTAGCACCGTTATGATTCTTCGCCATACTATGTTTTCAACTAGACTTAATTGAAATAATTCTAATAATTAATTTAATTAAAGCACTTAAATCATAAAGAGTATGAACAAGTTTATACATATTTATATATATATATTGCAATACTATATACTAATTAAATATCTGTGGTAAAATTAAAATACATGGTACAATGATCTCTATTGGTGTTTTCGTTTCTCGATAAAATTTTTTGCTTGATTACGAGGCAAATTTGTTGTGAAGCCAAATAACAACAATTCCACTCTGTCACTAAACAAACCTATATATACATATAAAGGAATATTTGGGCAAACTAAATAAACAACTCTTTAAGAGCACTGAACTTCTGCTCAGTCCTCGCTTTCAAAGCATTAATTTTTTTTTTTTTTTTATTATTTTTGAAGGAGTACATATTTTATTGAATTTAAGAAAATCAGCGTAAATTCAGGTGAGCCAGATTATTATTATTATTATTTTTTTATTTAATTTTTTTTTTTTTTTTTTTTTTTTTTTGTTGAAAAAACTCGACATCTCAAGTTGTTAGGTGACAGGGATGGAACAATTCGCCTACTAACAAAATTAGTGAGCAAAATGTTGAGAACAGAACAAAATAGTTGTAGAAAATGCAAAATAATATCGAGAAACAAACCCATTATATGATACGCCTTTTCTGCATTAAATATTTTTTATAGAACTTTAAAACAATGGCACTAACTGGAAAAATATAACGGGAAGGAGGGGGGGACGCGACGTGGAACTACTACAAGATAGAAGTTAAGAAATTGTATAAAAATAGTATATTACTGTGCTTATAAATGGAAAAAATTACTTAAATAAATTTTTAATATTTTATCAGCTGTGAATATGTACATATGTATATGCATTCGCTGATCCAATTAAATTCTCTAAATATCAAAAATTACAAACAAATAATATCATAATTTAATAACGAAAGCTTTAAAGATTTTTACGAAAGCCAAGAAAATTAGATAAATAAAGAAATAAAGCTTCTGCTTACTCCAAAACTGATTGGCATATTTTGAGGCGCATAATATTTGTTTGAAAAATTTTCTAAGAAATCATAAGGATAAATTATAAATAAATGATAAGGATCATCGATTTGTGGAACATAGTCAATAAAAACTAAGTAATATACTAATTTAGGCCTTACAATAAACATATAATATGTATATGTGTGTATATGAATAAAAATACAGGGTGCGCCATCTATTGCGAGAGCATTTGAAACTTGAATCGTTCCAACATTTTTTGACATATTGACATGGTTTATTGAACGTCTTTTCAGTATATATCAATTTGGCGTACGCTCATGGTACTTCTTGGCGAGAGTGAGTTTTGCCTCAAAATCATCATGACTGCTGCAGCTTATTTCACCTTGAATGGTGCGGTTAATAAGCATAACTGCAAACTTTTAGGCCGGTAGAAATCCTTGTGAGATATTCCAGAAGCCTTTACATAAACAAAAAAGTGACTATATGCTGCGGTGTGTCGGCCAAAAATATCATCCGGCTGTATTTTATCGAAGCCAATGGCGCGCGCTACAGAGCGATTCTACGTGACTTTGTGTTTCCGCAACAACTGGTACCAACAGCACGCAGCCACAGCACACACTAGCGTCGATTCGCCGCATGATGTGTGGAAATTTTGACTAACCCGATTTGATGTCGCCAAACTTCATTTTGCGGTGGTATTTGAAGAGCAAAGTTTATACGCATCAACAAGCCGCAGAATATAGCTCTGCTCAAAGCCAAATATTCGCCGAGAAATATCGCTTATTACCACCGAGAGGTGCTGGAAAATGTGATACAAAATGCACGAAAGAGGGCATATTTTTACATGAAAAATAAGTTGGAAATTATATTCAAAATGTGATGAATATAAAATTGAAAGCAACAAATAAAGTTTGGGGGGGAAAATAAAAAAATAAAAAAAAATAAAAAAATTAAAAAAAATTGTTTTGATCAAAAGTTACACAAGTTTCAAATGCTATCGGACATATGATGTACCCTATGTTGTATATAAATACTAAGAGTGTGCAGTAGTAAATAATTTCATCAATTATACGTATGTATGTATATTTACATTGTGTGAAAATGAAAAAAAGGTAAAGACTTAATATAGACTTTCTCGTAACTAGAATATACTCATTATATATTTGCTTGTTATCAAGATATTTTAGGGTAAAAACCCAAAGCACTAGAAAACAAATAAGAAAAAATTAACAAATACTATAAAAGAATTAAAAAAAAGTTATATAAATAATTTTTAAAAATATTGATACCGTTAAGGCCATCCTAGTATAGATTTTTATGGTTTAGCATCGTGCTAATAACTTCGAGTGTTGAAGAATTCGCAGCGCTGGCTTGTTTTTTGAGTGTATATCTGCAGCTTTAGCGTTCAGAACGACAATCATTTTTTATAAAAACACTTTTCAACGCCAAAAAAAAACACTAAAAGCTCAACACATTTTTAAAAAATCTAAAACTAATCTTCAACTTTCTTCTTGCGCTGCGCTGCTTTATTTAGATCCTTCGCGGGTTAATTAAAAATCACTTATTGGCGTTGGAGAAATTTTTCATTCAATTTGCATATACGATACCGAAAATTGAAATTAATGCGTTTGCTCGGTTGATTTCATGTTGTTTCAACTTTTTTATTTGTATTTAATTCTTTTTTTTTTAATGTATTTGACTTGAGTATTTGTGTGGCGTACTTGGTTCCATGTGATGCGCCTAAAACTCTGCTACTATATTTTATTAAATTGGTACTTATCACGCTCTACATATGGTAATGGTATCAACTATATATTATATATATATATATATGTATATATTATTTTCATGTACGTGTATGTAAATATGTATGTTTTAATACAAGAAATCGAATTTCCGCTTAAAATGTTATCTTCTTCTTCTTCATATTCTTAACAAATAACAACAAAGCAAAATACTCAATATTTGAAGCTTGCAGCAAAATTCTACTCTCTAACTGCTTTAATCCTTTACGAGTATATGGGTATATGTATGTGTATGTATAATAGATTGTTTAACATCTTTGATATACCCAAATTTTATAATATTAACTAAACCTAATTTATTTTATTGCATATTCATTTTAATTTTTTCTACTTTTCATCTTTCTTCCTTGGCCAATTGTGATACAAGACAAAAATTACAAATGAATTTTAATTTCATAAAGGACTCGGTTGGTGGTAAAACGTTCAAAAGACGGAGCCGGCATGCAAATAACGACCAACTGCATTATTTTTTTTTTTTTTTGTCAACAACAACAAAATAGTTTTGGTTTGTTTGTTTTTGTGTTCAATTATAGCGACGCATATCATAGGTTGGTTGATATATTTTTTTTTATAGAAAAAAAGAAGGAAATATATAAACAAACATTAATATTTGTGATAATTGGCAATTGATAAATATGTATTGTATTTAGAGTAATTCTTCATATGCATAATTCATGGTTAGGCAGTTTATTTTTTGTTTTCTAGTGGGCTTACAGTAATTATTATGTTCGGATTAGCATTTTTTTGTAAATACTTCTAGTTGTAGTTTGTAGAAAGTAGTAAGTAGTATGCGTTTATTTGCGTTAGAAACTAGAAGCGCTGAAGTTGTTCTTTTTTCGGTTTTACGTTGTTTAGTAGTAGAAAAGCTTTGGTGATTTGCATGAATTGTTGTTGTTACTTTTTAATGTTGCTAAAATGTTGAAGCGGTAGTTATTTGTGTTTAAATTAATTTTAGGTTTAAATAATATATATATATTTTTTTTTGTTCGAAAATGTTAGATAAATTGGCATTTGCGCTGAGTTGAGTTGTTATTGGTAATAAATAGCCAAACTGAAATCACAAATCATTTTTTCTTTATTTAAATTATTAATTAACGTTCCCTCAATGCTGGAATAAAAATATAACTCCCTCAGATTAATACATGGCATTTTGGTGTATGGCAACACTGAATAGATAACAGCCCTGCAGGGAAAACATAGACTAGTATGCACAAATTCTCGTTAAATACTAGTATTCTGAAGACGAAATCATGCCATTTTCTTGTAAAACAGCATTAGACAAAAATATACTAGTTTATTGCAGACTAGTATTATACTAGTATTTTTCGGTATAATCTAAACTAGTTTGCCAAAATTCTAGTATGCGAACTAGTAGTTTGCGGTCAAATTCATACCAGTTCGTCGTTTTGCAAAAGAAAAAATAACAAATCTCAGAAATAACACATTATTCGACTTGCGACTACAACAACAATAACAATAACCGCACATTATTGTAGTATTCCATATTTTGTGCAACTGTAAACTATGATGGATAGTCAAATGTAAAGATCGAATTTTCTTCTTTTTTTTTTGACTAGTAGGATGGAGGCTGGTCTGAGGTGAACTAGTTCTCAGCTTGTATGAACGAACCACTATTTTAATTGGTATATATGAAGAGGCATTTAACTAGTATGAAGCTGATGCATAGAGTGGCCATAAACAGTTCATATTCTAGGAAAAAAAATACCAGTTGCTTACATGAAAAATATAATAGATAGCCGATGAACGAGTTTGTGTAAAAATATAAATTTCTCTGCAGGGTGTGTATGAAGAAATTGCAACTCTCCTCATCTTATATTTTGGTTTGTTTTTAAATTAATATTGACTTGACTTAAACTTGAAACTAAAAACGAAGAAAATACAAAAAAAAAAACAAAAAAAAAACAAAAAAAAANAAAAAAAAAAAAAAAAAAAAAAAAAAAAAAAAAAAAAAAAAAAAAAAAAAAAAAAAAAAAAAAAAAAAAAAAAAAAAAAAAAAAAAAAAAAAAAAAAAAAACCACATGTCACATGTTTGAAAATTTGCATTTCGTCAAGCTATTATTTGCGGAATGGCACAATATAAAGTGAGACATAAACTTCAATAAATAAATTTTTGTAACAAAAAACTATAGTTAACTTTTCAATTAGAAAAAAAAACATATAATATAATAATAACAAAATAGCGAAACATTTAACGAAGGTAGCATGCATATTTTTGTAACAAAAAATACATTTTTGGTTTATAAAATTTACAAAAAAAAAACTGTAATAATTTTATGTGCGAGTTGTTAATAAAAAACATAACAACAATGTAAATTAAATAAATGCATGAAGAGTAAATAAAAAAAAATTGTTTGTGGTCACTGGGAAGAGTATTCGAAAAAATTAATTGAAATTTAAACTGTTGTACGAAATTTTTTAACTAAACTGTTGCTAAACAAACTTAAATACTTCCAATTAAAAGAAATAGTTAAAATTTTTCTCTTTGCTTAATGCCTTAGTTTTCCTCTCTAAATGGACTGTACTCCTCAATTAATACAAATATTGTATATATAAGATCCTAACTAATCATGCTCACTAATAAGTCTGCAATATTACCAGCATTTTCTATCAAATTTATGATTTTTTTTCTATACTTTGCTTATAGATGTTCTTAGTAAAATTAAAAAAAAAAATTGTATTTAATAAAGTTAATTAAGTAGCTTCTGCAGAGATGTGCTAGATGTTGTTGTGGCTAGTGTGAATATGTTTGTTATTTTTTTATACGTGAATATACGCATATATTAATTATATGTAATACGTAAATATGTATGTATTTATGTCTGATGTATTATTGCTGCGCGCATTATCAGAAAAAGCCTACAATTATTTATTATTATTTTTTTTTTTTAATTATTTTAGATATTAACCAACAATTATTTTTCTTCAAAATGCTACTGCAACTTAACCAAATATAATTTTTTTGTTTAATAATTTTTTGTTTGCTGTTTGTTAATTTCTATAAATTTGTTTAATATATATATATATATATGTATATATACTATTTTTTTTTTTGATTCTGCGGCTAATAATCATTATTGTGTTTTCATTTATCAAAAAAAACACTAAATTCGAATTATATATAAAATAAATAAATATGTATAACGTTAAAAAAAAAATATATATATATATAATAAAAATAATTGCAAATTTGATTAATCATCAATGAATGAATTAATTAATTTATAATTTGAATAGTATATAGTATAGTATAAGTAGAAGATAGATAATTTTAATATACATACATATATGTACATATATGTACGTGTCTATTATTTATCTAGCAAACAACCCACCGCTATGATCTGTGTATTCCGTCAGCAATGGATTACCGGCAGCGAGAGCAGCATAATTCGCATAATCGCCATACGGTGCGAATATCATGCCATGTGCGGGATTCTCAAAGGCAGCGGGAGCAGCTTGGCCGGATAGTATACTCGCCGCTGTAGTCGGCACGGTCATGCGTTGTGAGAGTATCAATGGCGCACCCAAGGTTGTGGCTTGTGGTGCACGGATCTGCGGTGCTAGACCAGGTAGTGCGGGCGTCAATAAGCGACTCTCAGCCGATGCAGCAATAACACGACGCCAATCCTCCTCGCAGGCTATAAAGAATGGAATAGAAAAAAGAATAGTAGAAAACAGATTATAAAAATGTACGCAGGCAAATACAGTAATTTGTGTACTTATTTTAAAAGATTATAAAATATAAATTTGAAAAAATATCAACAATTTATTCCTCTGCGTGGTTATTCCTCAACAACTGTCAGCAAATTTAATATATTGAGCCGTTCATAAAGCACCTAATTTCGTTTGATAAAAACAGCTGATCTGTTTGAAGTTTTTCGTAACCAACTTTGCATTGAACCGCTTTACTGTTATATATTTGAAAAGCTGATATGCAGGGTTTTGCAAAAGGATGCCTTATTTTGATATTCATTTTTGAGATAAATGTCCAATGTTTATTACAATTTAAAGAGAAAGATGTGTCATAAATAACGAAAAACGCTTAGAGAATCGTATCATTTTTATGAAATTTTCCATCATCAAATCATAAAGTGTAAGTCATCAATAGCTTCACGAATTCCATCTTTGAAGACTTGAAGCGATGTTGGTCTCTTGGCGTAGACCTTATCTTTCACGTACACCCAAAGGAAGAAGTCGAAAGGTGTTAAGTTATAAGATCTTGTGTGGCACGTAACATCGTCTTAATGAAATTAATCATTGCACAGAAAAATACTCTCCCATTCCGCCTATAAAAAACCATTAATCATCTCGCGATAACGTAATCCATTCGCAGCAACTGTTGCTCCAACCTCATTTTCGAAGTGGTGAAGGTCCAATGACACCGCCGGGCCATAAATCGTACCAAACACGTTGATGATAGAGAGACTTTTCAACAATTAATCTACCCATACATGAAAGTTTTCCTTATTGATGTAGTCATCGAAATGGAAATGGGAGTCATCAGGCAAGATGGTTTTGCGATAAAATTTCAAGGACCTAATTGGCAAAGATACGACCTCAAGACATTTTTATAGTGCATTTTAATAAATTCAATACGTTGCTGAAGCGTGTATCGTATCAGTTTTATTACTGGCGTATTTTTTGCTTGTCAAATGTCAAAAAATGACCACTTCTACCGGGATAGCAGACAATTGAAAATAACACCTTATATTGGAAACCCCTTTAGTATAGCTTGTCTGTAAGAGAATATTTTAAAAATTTTGGAATAGTTTTCGTTTGATATCCTATAAAAGATGAAAGGCATTTTCGGCATATTTTACTGTTTTACTATCGAAAGGGTAAAAAATGCAGTTGAAGAAACGTGAAAATTATGTGATGTGTACGGAGAACATACGTTTGCCTAAAGGATAAAGGAAAAAATTTCGTTTCGGTAGTTACGATCTCGTGGTTGCACTACTTACTGGAAGGCATTTTGAAGACGATGGGTATAAGACAAAGATTAAATTTGTCTAACGCGATCGTTTACAAGCACAAGAAAAATTATTGTGTATAAATTGCACAAAAAAACGAAATTACTTGGTGAACGACCCAATAAAAAGTACTTTTCGCTGAGGAAAAATACTGATTTTCAAATATAGTAAGCAAACTTTACAGTTCTTCAAGATTAAAAACCACAATTCAAAGCTAATAAAATCTATACCAAGTCTAAATGCTATTTTCTATAATATAAGTCTAATAAAAGTACTAAGAACATTTTATATATTTACGCATATTATATGCCTGTACTAAAATCAAGTTAATTTTATTAATATTTGTAGTGTTTAAGGATAAGGTAATAGCAGTAGTAATATTTTATTAAAAAGTTATCTCTTTTTTTACAATTACATACATATTTATTTGGGCAACATTACCAATTATTATTATGGTTATTCATCAAGTTGATATAATATTTCGAGACAAATTTTATTAAAATTATGTGAAAAATATTGAAAAAATAAAAAATTAAAATAAAAATAAAAAATCAATTGAGTAAGAGGAGAGTCAGTGTAACATACCTGGAATGGCATTTTTCGCAGACGTATCCCTATAAGTGCCATTAATTATAGCTAATTCCATGAGTTGACGTTTTTTAAGTTCATCTTCGCCTTCAGCTTGCTGTTAGTACAAACATTAATGTTGTCGTGAATTTATGTATTAATACACAAGAGAAAATTAAATATTAGATAAGTTCCGTAGTAAAAAAATAATTTCGTTTCGAAATATGTATTTATTTATTTTTAATTTTAACAGGGTTTTTATGTTAATCGATTTGTCATTATTTTTGTATGTAAATATGATTTTTTTTTTTTATTCATTATTTCTTTATTTGTATATGTATATATAAACACAATTATTTTGATTAATCAGATTATGGAAAATAAGAGCACGCGCACGCAAATGTGAGAGAGAATTGCAAAATTCTAGTACATAAATATGCATATTCTCATACACGTATATATGTAGTTTGAGATTTAACAATTCTCTTGGTTATGATATTAAGACATTATTTAAGTTAATTTTATTATTTAACTTATAGCCACGCGTAAATTTAAAGGGTTCTGTTAGAAAATATATATATTTTTAAGTATAGATTTATTGATTTTTTAATATACTCCCTCGCGAATACAAACTCTATCTACTTCGCTCTTTAGCCGTATGCGAATGGATTGCTCTTAAACTGGCATGCTAAACTCGTACTTACCGGCACTAGAAGCTTTTGTACTTCAGCAACGGCCTGTGCTAATTTGACTTTGGCACGATTCTCTGTGTCCTCGACAGTGATCAAAACATGCAGATCATCGGACAAGTGTTCCCAATTGGGTTTGCCGCGATTTGCATCCTCCTGCAATAAATAAATTAATAATATATGAAAAATACTATTTATTATGCGCATACTGTTACAAATATTTATAATAATAAAAATTATATTTATTAAAATATAAAAAAATTTAAATAAATAAGATGTATTCATTAAAAATTTATTAATAATTGCAAAGTCTTAATATAAAAAAATTAAATAAATTCAATAAAAGAAATCAATAAATAAAATATATATATATTGAAAAATTAAAAAAGTTTAAGAAAAACAATATAAGAAAATTAAAAAACTTATTTAGAAGTAAATGAATTAAATAAATGCAAAAAAATGACAAATAAATAAATCTGGAAAAAAGCATCAATTAATGAATAAAAGAATATTATTTATAATAACAAAGTATTTAATAATAAATAAGAAATAAAAATATGATAATAAATACAAAAAAAAATATTAATAAAAAAATATAAAAAAATAAAAATAATAAAAAAAATTATTTTTCAATGCATAAATTATATTTATTAAAAAATAATTATTTAAAAAGCAGATTATTATATTTAAATACATAAAAAATTTAGTTAAAAAATATATTAAAAATTCAAAAAAGTTTTAATATGAAAAAATTAAATAAATAAAAACAAAAAAAAAATCAATAAATTTAAACAAAAAAAATCAATAAATAAAAAATATATAAACTGAAAAATTAAAAAATTGTCTAAAAATAATTACTAGAAAATTAGAAAACTTTATTAAGAAATAGATGAATTAAAAAAAAAACAAACAAAAATGAAAAATAAATAAATCTGGAAGAAAGTATCAATTAATAACAAAAAAAGTATTTTTAATAATAAAAAATATTTAATAAGAAATTAAAAATAAATATATATTAATGAATACAAAAAACTACTAATAAATAAAAAAATATTTATTAATAAATGAAAATTATAAAAAATGTATTAATCAATACACAAATACACAAAATATATTTCTTAAAAAAATTATTTATTTGTTAAAGAAGCATTTATAGATTATTATATTTAAATAAATAAAAAATATTAATTGAAAAATTTATTAAAAAATCAAAAAAATTTTAATTTAAAATAATATAAATATAAAAAACAAAAACAAATCAATAAATATAAAATATATATACTGAAAAATTAAAAAATTTTATGAAACAAAAAAATATTATTTAATTAAAAAACTTAATTAAGAAATAGATGAATTAAATAAACAAAAAAAAATGAAAAATAAATAAATCTGGAAAAAAGTATCAATTAATAAAAAAATATTATTAACAATAAAAAAAATATTTAATAATAATTAAAATATAATTTTTTATTAATAAAAACAAAACAAAACTACTAATAAATAAAAAAAATTTTATTAATAAACAAAAATAATAAAAAAAGATTATTTATCGATACATAAAAAATATTTACCAAAATATATTTATTAAAAAATAATTATTAAAAAAGAGCATTTATTAAAAAAAAATATAGAAAAACATATTGACTAAAAGCTAAAGATAAAAGTTTTCAAATAAATTATTTACTTAAAAAATATTTATTGAGAAAAAAGTTGTTAAAAAGAATTATATTGAAATAAACAATATGTATTAAATTTATTTCAATATAATTTTTTTAACAACTTTTTTCTAAAAACAAACTTTTTGTTTGAATTTATAATACTCCTCCCCACACTCTTAGCGCGAACCTCCCTACACAATGCACTCTAAAAGACTATAATATAGTAATATAAATGCATTAAATTTATTCTTCGACCATTATATAACCGTTAACAGCATCTAAATTGCCTTCACAAGCAACCTGTTGCATGTTATTACGATATTACTACAAAACATTTATTTCGTTTCAAGCACTTAAGACCAACAATATAGACCATTAATGTGGCTTTTGCTATATTCTAACATAAATACATATGTACATATGTATATGCATGAGTGTTTTGTCATTTTCTAGCAAATGTACAATGAAAGCTATTAGAAGCGATTAAAAAAGAGTTTAAGTATAAAATACATAAAAGAATAGAAAACACCTCGCGTTGGTCGGATGATTGGTTAGTTATTTGAAAGGGAACGGCAGCGGAAGACTACACCTAAGCCACATACATACATAGTAGACTCTTTGCGTTCCCTTGCTTATTCGAATTATAGTTTATGGAACAATTCGTTCAAATAAACAAACGGTTTTATTATCTTCCAAGCTGGAGCTAGCAACACAGCGGAAGATTTCACGTCCCAATCAGCTGAAGGCCGGACACTCACGAGGATAATTTTCCACCATTTCGTCCTGCTACAGTCTGCCTATTCCACCTTTCCTAGCTTGTGCAGATTATATATATCTCAGAGATGTAGATGTCGCGTCAGTCTGCACAACTACATTTCGGGAGTAATTTCACACCTTCACTTTCAAATTCGAGAAATATATTTTAAATCAACCAATTGAAAACAATGAAAGTGCCCAGAATAACTGGATGTCCTTAAAGAGATGGTAAGGTAAAGGGAACAAAAAAAGTCACGGGGTGACACCTCGGGCGAATAAGGCGGTTGTTGCAACACGGCGATCCCTTAAGTGGCCAAATACTGGGACACGCTGAGGGCGGTCGTGATGAAGCATCCAGTTACGAGCGATGTCAGGGCGCACCTTGTTGACTCGTTTTCGCAATCTTTCGAGTACTTGGCGATATTAGACTTGATTTACGGTTTGCTCCGGTGGAAGAAATTCTCTGTGGACGATTCCACGGCTATCAAAAAGTAAATAATCATCGTTTTCATCTTCGACTTGCTCATGCAAGCTTTCACGCTTTTACGCCCCTCCTTAAACTTCTATGTCATCAAAACACCTGTGCACGACCAAGAGCACTATCACCAGGTAATTTGACAATTTTAGCATACGTTTCTGAAACTGTCTTACACAACTTGGCCCAAAATTTTATCGCGATGCGTTGCTTTTGATTTCGTTTTTCCATTTTCGTGACGAACACCACGAACACACGTTTACTCAACACGACACCGTAGGCGAACTAAACAAGCTAGAGTGATGGCTAATATATTAATGGAGAAGAGAAGAATGCCGGGAGAAGGGAAAAGAAATCTCAAGGGCGCAGGGTAACCACATTCGCGGTAATATAATCAGTCTCATTACTTGATTGTCATACCTCGTACGTATATTTATTTATTTATTACATTCCGTAATATTTGACCAGGTGGTGCGTGCTTCTGAGCTTCTAAGCTTAACAAAATTCGCTATCGAATTTCAAATAATTGAGGACATAAATGCTGCACTCACATCATTCACTTAAAATAGCTACAAAACTTTTGTCGCAATGCATGTGTATTGTACATTTGTCTATAGCAATGGAATTAACATTTATTTGCAGTCATAAGCTGATAATTACCAAAGTAATCAGTGATCAAAGCGGATAATTTCTTAAACAAAACAACGATGGGAACAGTAAAAAAATAAGCTTAAAACAGCGAACGATTTGAAAAAGAAAAGAAAATACTTTAATAATACTTTGGATACACACTTGTAGCAGTAAAATTATCATGTTTGCATGTATTTTTAATAAATGAAAAAAAATTAAAAAAAACGCTTGTAAATTTAAAGAAAAAAGTTAAACACATTTGGTGATTTTTAAATGCAAATAAAAATGATTTCACTCTTAATTAAAATTTTAATAAGCATATTTTTTGTTCTACAAAGTTATAAAATAAGAAATACACATCATATTAGAAACATTAAATAATGTAATTGATGCAATGAAATACGAATGGAGGAAAGATAATAAAGCGACAAACACATTTCCGTTGCCAAATCGAAAAAAAGAATCAAAGCCAAAAGCAAAGATTGAATACTTTTTATTTAATTTTATTTTATTTTTTTTTTGTATTTTTTTTTTTTTTTTTTTTTTTTTTTTTTTTTTTGGTAACTTTGAGTGGGTGGCATTTTTAGTCAACGTTGCGATGAATCAATACAGTTGAAAAGAAACAGGCATCATCTAGTTTATGTAAGGCAAAAACAACAGTGAGTATTGACACTACCAAAATAGGTACTTGAAAGCAGCAGCAGCAACAGAAAAGGTAAAAGCGACTAATGGCGTGTTGATGGCACAAGAAATCATTTATGGATGATAGAAAAGAAAAGAAAAATTAGCAAATTTTATTTCTCAAAAATAAATGAGTACTTCTAGATGTGTTCGCTTGCTCTCTATCTCCTCTCTTTCTCCCTCTCCTAAACAAAGAGCTCGTAATGTGTCACATGAGCCATGCTATAGTCGACTTTACAAATCCACAGCCGAGCTATCTAGGCTAGTTTAGGTTGTGGCTGCTGTTTTATGGTGTCTGATTCACCTAGGCTTGACTAAGACCACAAAAACTTGATCATCAGGCTACATTATTTAGCCAGTGCTATGCTCTAACGAAACTCATTAGAACCACGACTTTGACCTCAACTCTCTTCAACAGCACATTCAGTAGTAGGCCCGCAATATTCCGAAAACTCACCCTGCTCAATGCAGAACAGTCGCATAAGAGATGGGTAATAGTTTCCTCTTTCTTAATAGGGATCTACTGATGTTTCCCTGCGTCATCCTATCAGACCGTAGCTTGTCAGAGCTCCTATTACATTGTACATATCTCGTGATCTCTTCTCATCCCATTTTGGCGGGGTGTGCTTAGATTTGGAGCAGGTTGTATTATCATTCCACCTCGTTGCGATTTTTTTATATGTAAATTCCTTGCGAAGCAGTTTACAAGTGGCAAAAGGCATGGCAAAGCGTACTTTATCGAGAAGAATCTGCTCAGGCGTACATTGTCTACCAAGTTCATGAGCCTTACAGTTAACTCTCGATGTCCCAGGTAAGGACCAGGGACCTAAGTGAGAAACAGTCTGTTCTGTTTGCCCATCACCCATAGAGATCGGCGACAGTATAGCACTAATTTAGAATTTAGCTGCCTGACTGTCGCTGAAAATGAAGATATTCTTATTTTTAATGCTGGCTAC